GATTGGCAGTTTCAGATTGTTGGGTTTATTGACAAGCCAAATGGCATGGTAATTTGTGCTTGGCAAGCGGAAAGCAGAAACTGTGTTTAACTGTGAGTCAGTTGATTGAAATGAGTTTGTAGAATGCAATTCATTACTGGGGGAAGTATTTTAAGAATTCGTTTACTTTTTAGATATCATTAGCAGGGAACATCAGGCCTACAAACGACTGCCTCTTAAAATAGACTGTCCACCCAACAGCATCGAAATTTTACTTATTAAATTAAATTGTTATACTGTGTTTCATCGGGACAAAGATCCTTCCACCAGCTATGTTATTTTGCTGCGAAGGATAAGTTTGATGCATTAAATTTGTTGGGAATAAGGATCGACGTGATTAAGATAAACACTGGGGAGACAACTGTGTTTTCGGACTCCTGGATATCATAAGCGCGTGGCGTGTAGGGCAAACGTCCGTTTTCTGCAGGTAGACAGGCAATCGTCACTACATGTGCAATAAACTGGCATTTCAATCCACCTGAAAATTTCGTGGCATTAATTCCACAATAAGTCGATTAAAGGCCTGTGGCCGAAGGTAAAATTGGTGGAGCGTATTAGCTCACCTCAGACATGTTGCGTTTTTGCGACTGACAGGACGTGTGGGGTCAAAATCTTGACACACCTAAAGCAGCAATAATCTGCTTGCATAAATTCTATTTTTGTACATAAAATTTGGATCCCCACTTAGTGAAGACGAGTTACAGCATTAGAACTATTCGCCCAAATAGTTTATTGTGGAGGATGGGGGTGGGCATTCAGCTTTTTGCGACTACCCACATCAAAAGAGTACACATTTACATTAGCAATTTATACTTTCAGATCGACAAGCGTGTGGACGGCAAGCACTTGCTCCTGCTGCATGGCCCGCCCTCCTGTCTACTAGGCGCGAAGCCAACCGCCATAGCTGGCCATGGAATGTAAGACTGATTGTTAAATTCTGTATTGTAAGGTTCACACTTACTATTTTGAACGTTTACTGTCTGCAATGATTGAGACAAGTTAAAATTAAATATCAGCCAAGTCGTCCAGCATTGAAACCCATTAAACGGATCATTACGGTGTTTGGCGAAGACAGCTTCTTCAAAGTATTTAAAACATTCGTGCGGTCGCATCTAGAGTATGCTGTACAGGCGTGGAGGCCCTGAACCGCCAAGGACTGCATCGTCTTAGAGGAAGATTGGAGGTAAGCGGCAAAAATCTTTAAAGGTTTGTGGTCACTGCCCTTTGAAAACCTACGGTTGACCCTTACCCTCTCTCCTTTCCTACAGACAGGCACGAAGGGACCTCATACAAAGATTCCGCATTATGCATTGACTAGGTCGCTGTTTAATTCCTGATGATTCTTCGTTCGAAATAACACGCCCTATTTGCGTGGTCATCCCTTCTTACAACGTCTAGGAAAGGCACGCACCTATGTCCGCAAATATTTATACAGTAGTAGAGTGGTCACATCGCGGAACGCCCTACCCACAGAGGTTATTCATTCCTCATGTGTGGATTCATTCAAGGCCAAACTTGACAGGAATATAGGACCCAACTCTTACGTAACAGTCACTGCCATAAGTTCACTCTTAAATTCTCCTGCTGTTACATTACTACCAACTATTAAGTACAATCGAAATCTGAATTTTCACGTACTTCAGTCAGCTCCTTGTCATATTTTTTAATGTAAACTCTCTCAATATCAAAGCTTTAATGTGTCAATGTTACTTTTGGTATAATTGTGATCAATAGGGAGTTGAAAAGAATTAGCCTATGTTTCTCTTAACCAGACTGAACTAAGCTAAAAAAACAGGCCACTAATTAGTTTAATAAAATTAGATCTCGCCTGGTTTAGTTTTCACACGATGTTTCATGTAACCTAAAATGTCAGTTTTGTATCTCTTTGCAAACCTCCAGGTTGGACTTTACACCAGCATCAGAGGGGGATATCCGTACTGCGGTGGGACGCTGGTTGCTCCTGGATGGGTCGTTACTGCTGCACATTGTGTTGAAATGGCCACGAACTGTACGAGCGCACCTGTTGGAAAACTATTCTCATACAAAGCCCTCACAAATGCCACCCTGTTTGCCCGAATCGGTGACCATGACTTAAGGAAAACAGAGGCCTCTGAAAGAGATCGTCTTGTGCAGAGCGTGATAATTCACCCTCATTACCAAGTGCATTCAGGCAACAGTGAACATGATGTC